GAAAGATTAATTGATTTATAATAAAAAATTATTTTGACGTAATAATCTCCATCCCTATAAACATGACACCCCCATTATGTACAGAGACATTTTCAACGGCGCTGGATACAGTGGAAGATGTGGCAGAAATGGTAGAGAAGGTGGCCGGGGAAGTGGAGAAGGTGGCCGATGACATTGCCGATCATCTTCCAGAAGGAAAACTTCAAAGGGCAGCAAGGATTGTTGAGAGTGTGGCAAGAGAAGCAGCCAAGGATGCTGCGCTAGCAGATGATCTCATTGAGCAGGTAATCTTTCTTTATACCTAATCCTCTTATACATCTTGATTTCCACGTTTAAAAGTGAACCACCATATATAATAACATTATCTAGTTAGTACTTAGTACTAATGAAAAGTTTTATTTCGCAATTAACGGGTGAGGATCACATGTTTTTGTCAATTCCGTGTTTAGTAGTTGTCAGCGTTAGTCATTGTACATAGGATTTTGTTGGTATTAAGAATTGAAAATGGGGACGTGCATAACAAAACAGAAGACTATTTATGCAGTAAGGAAAATGTCAATTAAATATTATGATTTCATTATAATTTAGTTCAGATCCAGCCAATGTGTTTATTCAAGGATTGCAGACGTGGGTGTAGCCAACTTGTTGATAAATCTTGCATCAAACGTTATTACGATTATATTTTGTGTCCATTTGTGATCGAAATGTGCTTTAATTTGTTTTTTCTGTTTCACCTTTGAATATAACATTTATTCTTGTCCAATTGACCAATTAGGAGATGCCATTAATCTTCTAATTTTTTTAAAACAGAGCTGAATTAAGTACTGTTTAAGTAAATTGGTCTTTATGAAACGAATCAATCTGTCTTTGTATGTGTGTCTCTGTCTTGATGCTTTTGGAATATTAGAACATGAGCCACTCGTTTAGTAATCATTCACCATTTCTTAAACGAAGGCGGCTTCCTTCCTTCCCTTTCCCTATTACATATCACATCGCACTTGTTTAGTATCTTCAATAATTTTTAAGCAATTAAATAGAAACTCTTTTTTTTTTTTTTTGGTTGTTGAAAAGAATAGAAATTCTATTTGCAGCCCTAAGTTCGTAATGTACTTTTTAAGGTTTATTTTTAGTTACACCTCCTAGAATTCGATTTTAATCTTACTTTATCCCTGTAACTAAAAAATCATCACTTTACTCCCTGTTCTGTCATGAGACTCAAAATTCACACCACTCTAACTTTTAGACTCAAAAATCACCCTAAAACATATGTGGGACCCACCACCCATAAGATTAACCACATATGTCAATGAATTTGATTGTAAGTCTCCACTATGCGTTAGCATTAAACAATCAGAAAATACTAAGTTTAAAAGAAGAAAATTGAAATTTTTTGGGTTGATGTGCTTGCTTGAGTTAGAGAAATGAAAAAAAAAATAAAAAGATTGATTAGTTTGGTGCACCCAAATCAAATCAACAGAACGGAATTAATAGAGTTAAGACAATTTGAAGCGAATTTTGAGTTTTATAGAGTGAAATGACGAATTTTGAGTTTTAGGCTACAAAATGATATCAAACTTGAATTGCAAGGGGCAAACTGAAGCAATTTTGAGTTTTAAGGAGTAAAAATGACAATTTTTTAGTTACAAGAAGCAAATGACATTAAAATTGAGTTCTTGAATGTGTAGCTAAAAATAAGCTTATTTTTCATTCTTATTTTAAAAAGTTTAAGATAAAGACAACCAACCTCAATTTTACTTTCAAGGGCCATTGTGAAGAAATGTCATGGTGAGGTGAAACCATGACGTCCGTCCACAGCTTCGGAGAATAATTTAAATTCAGAACTTCACAAATAAAGGATACATTCGTTCAGTTTAATTAGATGTGAATCATGTGATTGATGTTAATCGTTCCAAAATTTTGCAGGTTGAGGGTATCGAAAAGGAAGTGGACTCTGTCATTGAGCAAGCCAATCAGAAAATCAAAGAAGAAGATGATACAGAAAATCAAGCAGCAAAAATCAAAGACGCGACGGAGATTAAAACTAAGATAGCAGAGATCAAAGAAGTGAATGCTGTTAAAAACGAGACAAAAAAAGGCTGAGGCAGCCTGCTGACTCAAAGTAGCAACTCCTGTATTTTATTTTATAAAAAACTAGATTTTAATTCTTAAATAAAATGAAGTTCAAAAAAATGTCTTATACAAGATTAAAAATTAATTTTAGTCCTTAGATTCTATTCAATGTCAGTATATGTATTTAATTTCTTTTTTTTTATTTATAATTTTATGGTGTTATTAAATAAAATTTTAAGATTATATTATAAATTTTAATTCTCATTATGGTAAGAATACTATATAAGAAAATATTTTCGTAGAGATTTTTCAGTACCCTTATACTTTTGTATATTGTCTTATGTGCCACTAATTCATTGTAATATATTTAGGTACGAACATTTCGGTACACTAGTTTAGTATAATATGTTTAGGTACGGACATTTCGGTATACTAGTTTAATATAATATATTTATGTACGTACATTTTGGTACACTAGTTTAGTATCATAACTTAGGTACGGAAGTTTTTGGTACACTTATGTTTTTGCATATTTTCTTATGTGTCACTAATTCACTACAATGTATTTAGGTACTACAATATATTTAAGTACAAACATTTCGGTACACTAATTTAATAAAATATATTATGATACAGACGTTTAGGTACACTAATTAGAAGAAGTTAAATAAAATTAATGAATTAAAATGTGTATAATAATAAATTTAAAATTTAATGTAATGACATTAAATAAGATATCTATTAAAAACATTAAAACAAAAATATAATATGAATTTAAATTAAGTACACATTAAAGGACTAAAATCAATATCCAATCTAACACCAGATTTTTATTAAATTTTAATCTTCTTCTAGGATTAAAGTTCAAAAACCCCTTTATAATTAAATAAAACACTATGTCTGAATAAGGGAAATAAATTTGAAATTTTGACAAAAGTCAGAATTTATAATAAATATGCACCAATTCATTTGTTTGGATTCATAAATATATAAATTTTAGAATTTCCACATAGAAAAAAAAGTGAAATTTGGAAAGATTCCAGCCAATCTAGGTATGTATGTATGTATATGTGTACACACACACACACACACACGTGGTGACATTCAGATAAGAAGATCGGCAGAGAGGGAATGGGGAGAGAAGCTGGATCCAAAAAAAAAGTGCAAAAATATACTTTTTGTGTTTTTAATGAGTAGACTTTGCCACTTAGTACTACAGTCTACTAGCTTTGCCACTTGTAAGCAAGATATTTTAGGTTTGATTCTTGCCAAATGTGAATTTGAACCACATTATTGTTAGCCTATTATGAGGCTAAACCTACCCATTCTCTCTCCTTTTAGTGTAAATATCATTGTTTGTTTAAAAAAAAAAAAACAAATAAGCTTTGTTTTTTAGTTGAGTTTTTGAGAAGTGCCTGCCAAACAAGAATCTTGAACTTGTGACTCAACTTGTTTTTGAGTTAAAAAAAGAGAACTCAAATCGAATACTAAACAGGTCCTAATCTGCTCAAAATGCTAATTTTCTTGGTTTGCTCTAAAGATAGCTTCTCTACATGGATGGATTGTCCATCGCTTCATGAATTTTGTTTCAAGGATTAATCTCAAGCTTGACTCATTTGCACATTGACACCATATCAACATTATCGAGCCCTAACAATAGATTAGGAACAAGGGATTCCACTTCATTTCGAGCAATGGCTATAGGATAAGATCCCTAATTGATGATCCTGGATTGCAAGTTTCAAACATCGGATTCGCGGATAAGGTTGAATAGACTGATAAATGGCAATCTGATTAATTTAGAGCCACACCAAATTAAATAGGATTGAATAGGTACGAGGACAACACCTTTGCAAGTAGTATTGCTCAATGGCAGCTTAACCTTGCTTTCAGTATCTAATCAGTCGGCTTCTTGGAGAGAGTTAACAAGACAGGCAGGAAATGGGGTTGCAGAACGAGCGAGATGCAGAAAAAACGCGTGAATAAAATTCATCCAAAATGACTAATACGTAAAATCACATGCCAAAAATGAGTATGTTTGGTTAAGATTGACATTGTGAGTATTTTTTTTTTTATTAAGGTGGCAAATGGTGAGTACTTTTCCCAAAGGGAGGTGTTTTGTTCCGTTGGATTGTTTTGTTCACAACCGCATATTGAATATACCTCACATACTAAAAACAGCTCCAGCGGTATCCCCATTGTCTTGCCAATTGGGTTAAACTGCTTTGGCACAAAGAATCCAGCTCCACGATCCGTAATTGCACAGGCAGGTGGTGAGAGCAAGCCAGTTCAACTGCCCCGCCCAACAATTGATGGGCCTGAGCCCGCTGGCGATGGATGATGTTATGGGTGACATCAGCCTGCGTAAACAATAGGATACAAATTGAACATAATTTAAGTCGCCTTCATAAAATAATTTCTTTTATAAAATGAGGCTTAAATAATTATTTTATATTAAAATTATTTAATAATAACTAATACATGAGGTCTCTTTACTTATAAATAAGAAATTTTAAATTCGATTTTCACTAAAGGTGAATTTTAACCACATTGTTGTCAGCTTATTATGAGGCTAAACCCATAATATCGGTTGTTCAAAAAAAAAAAAAAATTCAGTACCTCTGGCAAAAATCCTCCCATTTTTTGGGAAATGGATCATCTCCGAACCCCTTTTCACCATATCCATCTAATTCAGGATTCGAGTAGTTGAAATTTGATCTAATGGTTACAATTATTATAGTTTTTAAATGTTTCCTCTATTTATAATCGTTGAATTAAATTTTAATAATTCTGATCCCAAACTAAGTTGATTTAGTGGAAAAGGATCCGGAGAGAAACCTTTTCCATGTTTTGCCATTCATTTTCCTTTTCGTTGGCCACGTAGATCCAGGTGACGCCCTACTTTATAATGAAGCTCCAACGGCTAGCGCCTATCATTTTGAAATCTTCCAGACCGAAGTTCAAAAAGTATACAGAAAGCTAAAAAGAAAGAAGAAATCCCTAAATAAACCCCTTCTCTCGATTTCGGACCCCAAAATCCACAAATCTCAAATCTCCACGCCCCGTGAATTCCAAATTCACCATTTCTAGGGTTTCAATTCGCACCCAGAGTGATTACCTGTACGCGCTCTCTCATCCTCCGATCAAACCTTAGCGGAAGAAAAATCAGATTTTTTGTTGTTGCGATTTCTAGGGTTTTGGCGAGTCTAGGTTTTTCTAAGATCGAGAAGGAAGAAAAAGAATGGATCTTCCGCAGGAAATCGACGACTATATCAAAGAATCGATCGACCACTCCTTGGGCCTCCCTGTGTCGACGAACACCCTCGAATTGAAGCTTCGATGCTCCGAAGAAGCGAAACGGCGGCTTCAGAATCAGTATTCACTACTCCTCTCGAAACTGAAGGAGAAAGAGCAAGTCCTGGAGCGCTATAAGGTTCATAATTTTACATATGTTCGTATAATTGTATCGATATATATGAGTGTGTATATTTATTTGTTTTTTGGGATTTTGATTGTTTTGTATATTAGGCCGAAGCGAGTATGAATGCACAAGCTTTGAGGAAGTTCGTTGAGGAGAATCAGAGATTGGCGTCAGAATGTGCGCATCTGGTGACTCAGTGCAACAAGTGGGAGAGAGAATGCTCGCTCTACGATCACGACAGAGAGGCTTTGATGGATTTTGGGAACGAGGCTGATCAGCGTGCCAAGGAGGCGGAGATTCGTGTTCAGGAGTTGGAGGACGAAGTCAGAGAGTTGAGGGATGAATTGGGGTTCTACAAGCACAAATTGGAGATGCATTTGGTAATTTCTTCAACCGATTCTTATTTTTGAGCCGTGATTAGGTTTTGATCAATTGAAAGAAATGAACTGGGCAATGGGTTGGAATTTTATTATGGTGGTTAATACAGTAAATTGCTTGTTTTCTTCATTTTGTAATGTTCTCGTGCAATGCTATTACGTTTTTCTGGAATGTTATTCAGCTTCATGAAATTTTCTTTGTGCTTGGTGAAATGGCATGTATGCTTTTACAAGATTCATTTTTTATTTAGATGCTGTAAATAAGTTGTTATTCCTGGTTTCAATATTCCTCAATGTTTTTCCAGCTTTGTGCAGACATCACATACATGTGCACACAATCACAGACAAAAACTTCGAATAAATCTTGTGAGCTTTTTTGGGTTTTACCCATTCCAGTTTCTTTGAAGTACTGGGAAGAACAAGTATACAGATTACTTCTGTGCAATTTTCTTCTGATGTTGATGGCAAAAATTAGCAAGAAAATTAGTATAAACCCCAGAGAAATCAGAAACTTCGATGGAATGAATCGATTAGAATGAGCGCAAAAGACTGAAATAATTGGTTTTCGACGCTGTATAATGCTTCTCAGTCATGAATTTGGAGTTCTGACATATTGCATATTTTTGTTCTAATATTTTTCTATTTCAGATAATGTTTAGTCATTTTGTGAAATTTGGGGATTTAGTTTCTTTTTCCTATCCCACTATCTTGTTTCTTCTCTTCCGTGTTGATTATGATTGACAAATAGGTTAACAATCCAAATATACTTTTATATGATTTTATGAAGACTAATAGAAGTTTTTATGTTGAAGGTTGAATCATCTGCTGAAGACACAACCATTGAAGAGAAACTACTGGATTCTGTTTTGGCAACATTGATCAATAAAGATGAAGCTGTGTCTGCACGTGCTTTTCTGGAGGCCAACAAAGGAAATGAGTCATGTGGAAGGTTGCTAAAAATGTGGAAATGGTGAGTTTATTTGTAATTCTTCATTCTTTTTTTCTTTTCTTTTTCAAATGGTGAATTAGAATCTACCTTTGTGCAAAGTCTACTTTGCGAGTTGCTTCTATCTGAATATGAACTTCTCGTTTCTCAATGTTGTAGCTTGAAGCCGTCATCTCAAAAAGTTCTATCACTAGTTGCTGAGGTAAAGACACTTGAGAAGGATAAGGAACATCTAAGAATCAATCTTCGTACGGCTGAGGAAGAGGTAAGGAGTGCAGAAAATTTTGAACCTTTGCTTCTCCCTGATCTGTCCTCTCTTGATTTTTCCTGGAATACTCTGTATTGTATAATGATATCCCATACTTGTGATGTTTATATGTCAAAATATCGTAGAATGATTTCCCATATTTATGATGTATGCAGGTTAAATTGCTTTTTGAAGAAAACAAAGTCCTAGATGTGGAGAACAAAAGATTACTGAGGCTATACCAGAAGGAAAGAAACCATTCTGCGTCTGGTGGAAAACATATCGACAGTGCATCAGCGAAGGTGAGACAAGGGGAAAATAAGAGCTTTGACTCGTTTGTTCTATGTATTGATCTGCTCTAATATATTGCATTGTTTCTCCGTTGCAGTCAAATAAGCGCAAATCAAGCTCTAAGATAAGCAGCCCGATTCAAGGGAAGATTGATTTCAGTGAGCAAGAACCAGCAAGACAGCCCCTATCACCCTTGCGCTGTAACTCCCCTAACTCTAGAACCTATAAGAAGTAGTAGAAATTTTTTTCAAACAGTCCCCTTTGTACCTCGTGTATTCATGATACCTTGTGACTGGGTGTTAAGATCACAGAGTTCGGAATGACTAACAAGTTTGATTGTAAGAATCACTTGCTAAGTCTTTTAGTAAGTGGTAGGGAATTTTTCGTTTCAAAGGCAATGCCAAGTTCTCGTCTTTAAAGATCTGGTATTTCTAGGGATGCAGCAATTACGTACAGTTGTGAAATTGCTTTGCGTTTATGATGAATTTCTGTGATCATGTTCTTGTATATTAGTATAGCCTAGTTGCATGGTTCAATTTGAGTGTATATGTTTCTTCAAAAATTTGTTCACAACAGGTATATTTCCAAATACGTTCGCAACCTGTCCATGTTCTTGTATCTTACTAAAACCACAAACCAAAGCGATAGGACTAATAGATGGAGAAATTTACCAATTGTGAGTTTGCCATGTCACTAGTAAAGTACTTGACGACAACCACACGTAATGTGTGTGTGTGTGTGTGTGTGAATAGATTTTATTTCTTTGTAATTTTTATTCTAATTTCCCCAAGTCCTAAGTCTTAGTGCTTACTAGTGCTTAAAACCCGCGCGTTGCCACAGGTTTGAAGTTAAGATAAGATATTAAAAATGAAAAAATTTCGGTTACCAAAATAGGATCAACGATAACAACAATGAATTTGAAAATTCGTTAACTGGAAAAGGTTAAATTTAGATAATATAAAGATACAAATTATAGTTATCCATTACATTGTAGCACTTCTATGTATTTCTGGATCAGGAGGATTACATTCAGTTACAGAAAATAGAAATTCCTGGTATAAAGATACAAAAAACATTATAGTAACTGAATTTCTTCTAATAACCCCATCTAATATACTGTGTTCCAGCTTTTGCATACAAAAAATGAGAAGATGCTGTTGTATGGGGATGCAAAAAATATTGTTGAGTTTTGGGCAAAAAAAGATATGTAGAGGTTTTTAAACATGTTAAACATGATTTAATATAGATAAACAAAACACGGTAAACATTCTTGATCAAAGTAGTGAAAGGTGTCTTCAGCCCTTGTTGTCATTGATAAAGCAACCTGAACAAAGAGGAATAGAACAGAACATATTTAGATAGGATTTAGTATCACATTTAAATGGTAATGGAGGAAAAGATAAAACAACTTGAAAGCATACTAACCTAATCATTGTTTCCAGTGCTACTGTGTGGCTTTGCCTAAGTAGGAGGTGATTTTTTTTTTTAATAACTTGATCGGAACCTTATCACATTCTCTTGGATCAACTTCTGAAATTTCTTCAAATTCACTGAGTTGAATGATTATACAACATTAATATAGTTGTTCACAGAAAGAAGAAAAGATGATTCCTAGTTATAATTCATAGTATTGAAAATGTTTGATATGTAAATTTTAAGAAAGTTGAAGTGAACACATGGAAATTTTTTAAAACATGATGTAAAAATATAAACATCATATTTGAGAATAGTATGAAATTAGATATCAAACCTTTGTGTCACTAGGAATGAAAAGCTCTATTCTCATAGATTCTCTTTTTTGTTTATAAGATTGATCACTTGGTTCAGGTGTTGAGAACGATTCAAAAACAAAAGAAAAGGACTGGCAAGAGCGGGAGAAGCAAACAAATACAATGAAGAAAGCAAACAACTGGCAAGAGCGGGAGAAGCAAACAAAGACAACGAAGAAAGCAAACGACTGCCAAAAGCGGGAGAAGCAAAGAAAAACAACAAAGAAAAATTGAAAATAAAACGGAAGAAAGAAGAACAAAAGTAGAGATACTACCTTGTGGTGATGACTGACACGTGGACGGCATAAATTTTTATTTTTTGTTGTGCCACAAATCATGTGGCCCGGTTTTAATCACATTTTTTTAATATTCTTTTGTCTTCCCATCAGATATACATGGGTTTAAAAAGTTAAGAAGGTATAAAAATTTTATTGTTTGTTATCACAGAAAAATTTAAAAAAATGTACAATGATAAATTATACATATACTAAAACTCAGTTTGGTAGCACAATAAAGAACAAAGAAAAAGTCACTTATTATAAATCACCTGCTTTACTTATGTTTGAGCAGCTCCGGGAATCGATGGTTTTCATATCCTGCAAATTCGGACTCTTAACTTCGCTAGCTTTATATACAGCTATAATTTATTAATAGGAGTTGGAGCCATATTTTTCATTTACCCTGGTCAAACAAAGCATAAATTTTTTAATTTCTCTTTCGTTCTTTATTTATTATTTCCTATTTTCTCTACTCTAATTTAAACATCAAATTCATCCAAAAACAGAATTTTTTAATAATTATTTCCTATTTTCTGTGCTCTAAATTAAACACCAAATTTACCCAAGAACAGAAAATAAGCAAGAATAAGTGGAAAAAAAGACAAAAAAGAACAACAACATACCTGAAATAGAACCAGCGCAAAAATGGCAACACAACACCTGGGAAAAACGAACAACACCGTTTCCTGAAAATACAAAACAGAACCAAATCATGCACCCATAATAACAATGACGACACACAAACGAAAAAAAGATGAAGCACCATTTGCTAAAACGCGAAGGAAAGAAGCAGAAAACGCAAAGGAAAAATTGAGGAAAGAAAGAGATAAAAATGAAAGATAAAGGGAGAAGCCCTCTCAGCAGAAAATCCCTCGATGATCAACACGTGGAAGACAAAAAGCAAAGCAAAGTCAAAAAATAAAATAACCAAAGGCAAGGTGGAAGACAGCGGGGCTTCTCACAATTTTTAATATTTGGTTTCCATGCATTCAAAATTTTTTATAATTTTTTATTGTGTTATGCGCCACAAACCTGGATTAACTCATTTTTTTAAATATTTGTTGTCAGTTTTTTTTTATTTATTATTTTATCTTTCTTTGTGCCCACACTCTGCATTCAAATGTTTTTATAATATTTTATTGTGTTATGTGCCACAAACCGTGTTCCGTGCCACCTACTGCAGGAGACTCGGCGTGGAAGACAAAAAGCCGAGCAAAATCAAAAAATAAAATAATCAAAAGGCAAAGCAATGGGGACAGGTGGGTTTCTCAAAATTTTTAATAATTATTTTGTCATGCATTCAATGTTTTTATAATTTTTTATTGTCTTGTGCGCCACCAACCATGTGGCCTGATTTAAGTCATATTTTTTAAATAATTTTTGTCCCTTTTTAATTAATTATTTTATCTTTCTTTGTGCCACAACTCGACGATCATAGACACGAAACCTGGGAGGACAAAGAATGATCAACACGTGGCAATCATGGTCAATACAGGTATTTTATTATGTGAAGCAGGCAGCAGAATGGTAATAGACCGAAAAAATCAGGGGCATTTCCGCCTTTTACTATTGTTGAACAGTGCTAAAACTCAACTAAGTTTTAGCATATATAATGTAACAGATGACTTGAAAATTTCATTTTCATACCCAGTTTATGGTACGAGAGAATCCAAGAGGATTCATCTCGTTGCCTTTCCTATCAAGAGTCATAATAGAATTCAGAAAGAAGACGAGTCAAAAGATACAGACGTCGATGGTGGTGACATTCCACGAAGCAGAGGTGAAAGTCTTATGCAAGATGAGAGGGCAATAAGCTTGCAATTTTGACCAGCTCAACAAAGTGTTAAATCCATGTTCGTTAACCAAGCAAACAAAGTGAGGTTATGAAATAAACGAAGTGAAGTGGAAGAAGAAGCAGTGAGGCGCCGAATGTAGTGATGTGGGAAGAAGAGCATTCCGATGGATTCAATTTATATGACATTTGACTCCGTAACCTCTAGTGTGCAGCCTCGTGAATACAACCGTGAAGTTGCGAAGCAGATCTTGTGCAATTAATAATAAATAAATCAAGAATGAAGGAATGGAACCTTCCTTTGACTTACTTCAGTGGCAAGAGATTCAAGAATTACTACGAAAGATAAGGGGACTCTGTCAATGAGGCACACTCATCTCGATTGCTTGACGAAACACGGCCACACACCCTTTTGTTGTCAACGTGACTGAAACGAAAGAGTGGCGCCTCATCCACTGCTTTGTACTGAAAGTAGGTGCTCCTCGTCATGCTTGACGTGGAAGGGGATGATTACAAACCATCCCTTTTGCCAGTCCACATCTCCCTAACTAGTCAGGGGATTCCTTGTATCATTTCGTCATTTCACAAATGTAGGGTCCATAAGGGTGACAAAAGGTAGGATGCCCCTATTTGGCTTTTGTTTTCCAAACTGGGTTTGTCGCTAAGTCAACCTTCCATATTTGGACGCTGGTTCAAGTTAATAGTGGCAAAGATTCCCCACTTCACTTCGCTTCATTTCCACCTCACTTCGTTTACTTCGTAACCTTATGTTTACACAAAATGTTGTTGTTAAGGAATTCCCACTATGGTCTCGAGAGAACAATCCTAACCCAAAGCTTGGAAAACAGTTTATAATCATGCCTTCATTCTCTTCAAGCAGAGGGTTTCGCACTCAACCAGCAGGAGATTGCTTGACCATACCATTAGGGATAGGGATTGAGATGATCTTGAAAGTCAGGTGAAGCCGAGACACATCCATACTAGAAGCCATTTGAACTTCCAACAAAAGGACTCGGTGGTGACCTAACTGAGTCCATCTTGTTCCCTTGGACCATCCCAATGTGATTAAGATCAACCCAATGCCTAGTCGTTTCGAGCTTTGTCTCGATCAGATGCATCAAAGGGCCAAAGGAGTGAGGGGAGGCTTAAAAAACTGCTAGAATGGCCACCGAAGGTAGTGTCCATTGGGAGAAGGGGCTGAAATGAGGTTTTTATTACTAGAAAGCATCCATTCAGATGACTATCTAGTGGTAAGCACATACCTGATGAGATCCCCATTTCCATCCTATTCATTCCTTAAATAGGCAAGTCCCTTACGTAAGTAAAGAAAAAGGTTTGGGATCAACTGCAAGTTACAAAGTCAAAGTAGTCGTGAGGCATCAAAGGTGTCCATGTGGAGAAGCAAAGGCTCCACATTACGAAATACTGAATTTGCATATAGAAAGACAATGGATCCATGTCTTATACCAATGTACAAAGAAATGCTAGAAGTAGCCACAAGTAAAAGAACATGAAAGATTAAGACTTATGTGGATAGCTTAATATCGGTGCTAGTCTTGCCCATAAGATAAGTAATGTTTGTGGTTCTTCTTTGACAAAGTAACTCCCTTGGGGTGCCCCTCATCTATTCTCGAGTCACAAGTCCACTACAAGGATATTATTGAAAAAAGTCAAAAAATGCTTGTTGCTTGGAAAGC